TCCCAGCTGCTCCGCTTCTGATCCAGTTCTCTGCTGTGGCCTGGGAAAGCAGTAGAAGATGGCCCAAGTCCTTGGGCCCCTGCACCTGCGCAGGAGACCTGGAAGAAACTCCTAGCTCCTGGCTCCTGGCATCGGATCAGTGCAGCTCTGGCCATTGCAGCCAACTGGGGAGTGAACCAGTGGATGGAAGACCTCTTTGTTCCTCTCTCTCTCTCTCCCTCTCTCTCTCCCCCCCTCCCCCCCCCCTCCTTCTCTCTCTGTGTAACTCTGACTTTCAAATAAATAAATAAATCTTTAAAAAAAAAAGATGTGAACTGGAACTGGTTTTTCTTAGCATATTGTTTACCATTTATCATTTTTTGAATTAGATGTAATCAGGGTTATCAACAAGTCCTATAGACTCAAAAATATTTTTCTTAAGCTTTTGTCACTTGAGATAACAAAATATTTTGTCTCATTATTTCATTCAGTACTTTTATAACTTTAGCTTTAGATTTAAATCTTTGATCCATTTGGAAATTTGTGAAGGTATCAGAGATCAGTTAATCTGGTATATTTTTAAGATATGTCTATCTGTCCCTACAAGTTTAATTAAATCACCTTTGTCCTACTTAGATATCTCTCACCATATAATAATATACAAATATAGATTTATATAATTATAGATTCCTACATAATTATTATAAAATGTAATATTAACCACCACCTCCAGCAGTGCCAACCAGACATCTATAGAACACCTTATTAGTTTAAATGCTTTCTTCACCATTTTATGGAACAGGTGCCCTCATTTAAAAAAAATCATCCACAAGGAAACTTGAGGGTTAGTGGTGAGAAGTAACTTGCAGAATGTTGTGCAGCCAGTAAGTGGCAAAGTCAAATTAGGAATGTAGATTTCAGACTTCTGGTGTAAGGTGATCCCCCCTGACCTTTAAGCCATTGTCTGCCACATTCCGCTGAGCATTTGGTTTACAGACATTGTCATTCTAGTCTGTTCTGTTGATCTGTCCCTTTATGCATGCATGTTGTGGTATGCTTTCAATATTCAGGACTACTTCTCTTCTGTCATTTTTTAACAGAAAATATATTAAATGATTCTTAAAATATTTTTCTGTGACAGTTAGAAAAACCTTGCTTGTATCCTGAAGTGATCCCTAACCCCAGGCAACCACTGATCTGATTCTGTCCCTATAGTTTTACATTTCCTGGTCTGCTCTATTCATAAAACTGTACTAGAGGTAACTGTTTGTGTTCTGCTTCTGAAATTTAATATAATACTTTTGAGGTTGATTTATATTGTTCACTGTGTTAGTGAATAATTACCAAATTCTTTTCTCATTTGTAATAATTTTTCAGTTGAAGCTCTGGGGTTTTTCAGATATATATCATCTGAAAATAATTGTCATTTAAATCCGACTTTTCTGCTTTTTATACATGCTGCCCTCTTCTGACTAAATGGCCTCTGTGTCTCCAGAATAATATTAACTGGTAGTGGTGATATTATATACTGGTTTTCATCCTGACTTTCATGAAAATTATTTTCATTTTTTTCTTTAGCATGATGCTGGCTTTTCAGATGTGTAAGCTTTTTTTTTTTTTTTTGTTAAATCAAAATAAGTGTTTTCTACTTAATAAATACAGAAAGTGTGATGGGACGAGAAAACCACCATTTGGCAGATGTGGTAGAAATAACAGCCACGAGTCATCAATGGATGCTTAAAAGTAGGATCAGAAACAAGATACTTGCAGAGTATCAAGTGATCTCCACAAGACACTCACTTAAAAAATGGAAAATAGTAACTTTAAAGTGGAAAATCTGACATATACCACTCTAACCAAATGATCACCAGTAGTTAGATACATCAGATACCATCTGGAATAACACCCTGACATATGTTACTCCTGGGATGTTCTTGCCAAAAGTAAATAACGTGAAAAAATGCTCAGATTGGGAGTCATTCTATGAAATATTTGGCAAGCACTCTTCAAATATCAAAGTTATGAGAATCAAAGAATGCCTGTGTAACAATCACAGCTTGGAGGAGAGGAAGGGGAGGCTGAATTGGTTCCTTGGTCAGGAAATGAGAATTAGTGTGACAAGTGGCAAAATTTGAGTAAGATCTGTAGCTTGGTTGATAGTACTGTAAATGTTAATGTCTTGGTTTTAATGATTGTACTATGATTATGTAATGTATTACATGTAAGGGGAAACTGGGTGAAGGATTTATAGGAACTCTTATTTTTGCAGGTTTTTTTGAACATTTGAAATTGTTTCAAAATAAAAAATTTAAACAAATAACATTCACAAAAACAAACGAGATATCTCATTGCTCAGGGTTTGTATTTGAGTTGTATATGTTTTGAATTTACAGATGGTATGTTTATAGGCAGTGTAACTTGTTTCTGCTAGTTCCAATAGAATATAATATTTCATAGATATGAGATGGCTTGCACAGTATCTAGGAGAAGGTAACAAAGGGCCTTTATGTTGCTGTGTGAACTTGACTGAGTTGGTAATTCACAAATGAAATATTGAATTAAAAGCATTTATCAAGTTGATTTAGATTTTATTAGTACCAGTGTAGTAGGTAGATTCACCTAAGACATTCTAGGAGAAGTCGGTAACAAGCATGTATACCTCATAGCTAAGACCATGTAACTAGGAGAGTTGACTCAGTCCCACCAACACTGTTGTAGCAAAAACCTAGCTGTCATCTCCTTATGCTCCCTGTACTGAGGATACAAAAAAATTGTACCCTAAAAGTCTGCCAGAGCTGCACTAGAAGAACTAAGTATCTTTACAATTGTGCTTGCCTGGAGTTCCTGACTTCCCACACGTGGGTGCTGATCCTTACGTTGTTCATTTCTGTTTTTGCAGTTTCATTCCAGTCTGTATTTTTTTGGCAGAACATGACACATGTATCAAATTTATTTCCAGGTCTGAAGCTTCCTTGCTTTCCCCGGGGAAACTGGCCTTGGTTGTGTCTATTATTATTTTTTGAGCTGTTTGATTTTGTTTTGTAAAGTTCTTTTCTATTAGTTCTTGCCCTCCTTCTGGGTTTAGGGATGCATAATGAAAAGCCAAGAGGTGTTCAGAGAGAAAGTGGGTGAACCATGTGTTCATATCTGATCTATCAAAAGCTTGTTAACATTTTATCATATTTTATTTTTATTTATTTATTTTTTAAAGTTGTGGATTAGTCATAACTTTCTCTAGATGGACTTTCTGAGAAAAAAACCAATAAAATAAATTTTCTTGACTACTGACCTTGTGTGTATGACTAATTATTTGTTTTTTTTTTTTAATGAGGACCAATTGTCTTTTTATTTTATTAAATAATAGGCATTCATTAAGTGCTAACAGGATGAGAGCTACATGATATGCACAAAATTATTTCTCAAAGTTCAGCAAATTAAAATTTGTTATCACAAATAATAAATTTGATGAATTATTTTTTGCTTAAAATGTATTAAAGAAAAATTGTGTATATTTAATTACTTTCTTTACAATATTTTTAATGTTTATTTATTTACTTTTAGTTGTTTGAAAGGCAGAATGTCTGAGAGGACAGAGAAGAGAGAGAAGGAGAGGGAGGAGGGGCAGAAGGAGGGAGAGATAAAGAAAGAGAGGGAGAGAGAGAATCTTTTATAGCATGGTTTACTTTTTTTTTTTTTTAATTTATTTAATGAGCATAAGTTTCCAAAGTACAGCTTCTGGACCACAATAGCCTCCCCCCCCCCCTCCCCGTGTCTTCCCTCCCATCCACAACGCTCCCCTCTCCCACTCCCTCTCCCCTTCCCCTTCACATCAGAATTAATTTTCAATTATCTTTATATACAGATCAATTTAGCGTATGTTAAGTAAAGATTACCACATTTTGCTCCCACACAGAAACATAAAGTGTAAAATACTATTTGAGTACTAGTTATAGCATTAATTAAACACCTAAGAGTAATTGTGTATTAATTACAGAGTTCAACCAATAGTTTTAAGTAGAATATAAAATGCATCTTTTGCATTGTTGTGGCTTCCCCCCGACCTCCCTCCCTCCCGTGGCCCTCCCCTCACCCACTTCCTCTCCCCTCCCCCCCCTTCATCACGTTTCATTTTCGGTTACCTTCATATACCGAAGATCAATTTAGTATATACTAAGCAGGGATTTCAACAGGTTGCACTCACACAACCGAACCAGGTATAGGGTATTGTTCGACTAGTAGTGTTGTATTTGAGTTTCATAGATAGACATATTAAGGACAGAGATCCTGCGAGGGGAGCATGAACCCAGTGACTCCCGTTGTTGATTTAACAATTGGCACTCTTATTTATGACATGACTAATTATTTGTAATTTATAGAGATAATCAGCAGGAAAGTCGAGGGATCATGATGAAAAGGTAAAATAAACCAGAAATTTGGCAAATATAAACCCCAATTTTATGTTCACTCTGAGCCTTTTATATCTTGTTATTTTTGTTTTGCGGTTGCACCCTGTTTAGGCAGTAAAAGACCTTTAAATTGCTGTGTATACTCTACTGAGTTGGCGACTCACAAATGAAGTACTGATTTCAAAGCATTTATCAAGTTAATTTAGATTTTTATTAATAACAGGGTAGTAGGCAGCGATTTACCTAAGACATTCTAAATTTGTTTAAAAACATTTTGACAGTTCTGTGCTATGTACATTTGGAGATTTCTTTAGAAGCTTTATTTTTTGGAGCTGTGTTTTTTCTTTTTTTATTGTTGCCCCTAGATAATGAAATTTTTATTCTTTTTTATTTTTTTTTAAAGGTAGACAAATTTTCATGTATATCATGTATAGAGATTTAGGAGCGTAGTGATACTTCCCACCAAACCCTTTCTTCTGCTCACAAATGTTTTATCTTGTTGTGGGTAGGGTTTGGGTAGTTACTATTCATCTAAAGTTTAGGAGTGTGCTGTAAGTGACATTGAAGAAGTACTAATACTTGCATTGTATTTTTGTTTGTTTTTTTCTTCGGAAGCTGGTTGGAGGGCAGTTTGATTTGGAAATGAATTTCATTATCCAAGAAGGTGAGAGTATCATCTGCATGGTGGACCTGCTGGAGAAATGTGATGTCACTTGCCAAGCTGAAGTATGGAGCATGTTTACAGCCATTCTGAAGAAAAGCATACGCAACCTTCAGGTCTGCACGGAAGTAGGCCTTGTTGAGAAAGTGCTGGGAAAGATCGAAAAAGTCGACCATATACTAGCAGGTATGACTTCTGTAGTACAATGTGTGTGAAAAAGTAGTTTGATTCTTAAATACTGAATTTTTATTTTTTCATTTAACATTTAAGAACTATTTGAGCATATAGCTTGTTACTTTAGTGTCCAAAGCCTTATGGAAGCATAGTGTATTTTAAGTCTTTAAGAAACAAAAGCAGATGAATTGTTTTCTTTTTTCTTTTGTTTCCAGATCTTTTAGTTGACATGTTGGGAGTGCTGGCTAGCTATAATCTGACAGTTCGAGAACTTAAGCTATTCTTCAGTAAACTTCAAGGAGATAAAGGACAATGGGTAAACTAACCTAAATACTAAATGCTTTACATTTCTGACAATATTTAGCATAATAATATGTTGCTTTAATGCTCTTGTCTACTAATTCTGTCATCAGAATTGATTTCAACTTGTGAAAGTTGGAAATGGATAGAAGTGTGAGGGCAGAGTACTGCAGAGGAAAAAACTATACTGAAAAACTCCAGAAATCTGGAGTGAGGATTCAGTACCAGACTGTTCATGCTTACCTTAAAACTCAGTAAGATAGAGCTAACATTCTGATAGCTATAAGTCAGAGTAGTGACAGAATTAATAATAGAGAGCTACAGACCGTTAGAGATCATACTAGACACTGTGGAGAGACCACTATCTCGTGGCACTTCTCACCCTGTGTCTGAGACCCTAGAGGAGCCAGATCTGAACAGAAGGGTTAGACTAGCCCTGGAGTATCAGCCACTCTATCCTCTAAGGCTAGTTTTAAGATTTTTTTTTCTTTTTTCAGTAGGAATTATAGTTGATCTACAAGTAACTTATCTGCTTCAAAAATAGTCTAAGAATCTCAAAAGGATTTATGTCAGATTCTAGCACTCAGCAATATGCAGTTCACTTTGTCTTATGTCAGTATGTCTAAAATCAGTAGCCATAAGAAGAAAGTGTTTTAATTTTTGAAAGTCAGTATAATTGTAGGCACTTGTTACTACACTTTATGAGGCTACTTAAAAAATTTTATGGAAAATATAATTAAAAGATAAGCTTATTTTGGTACAAAAAAGTAGAAACCCATGCATAATTTTTTCATAATATGCATTTTTCATGAGCTTTTTGAAGACACTTCATGTTCCTTGACACTTGAAACTCTTTCCACACAGTAGCAAAAAATGATCTTTTAAAAATACAAACTACACTAACACCACCCCTCTTTAACACTGTAACGAATCCTTAAATACTCAGTGTTTCAATGCTAAAGATACTTTAAAATATTGTGGTACATTAACCTCGTAGCCACCCTGTGGGGTACATTATTATCTCCATTTTACCAAGGAGGGATCTGAGGTGGTGGAATATAACCTAGGTCACACAAGCAGTGGATCAGAACTCATTTTCACATGCCCTAGGTCACACAGGAAGTGTATCAGAACTTATTCTCACTCCACAGTACATGCTTTTAACCACTAGATGGTCACTGTTATGTTGTACTTGCTCATGTAGCTTTCTGTTTCCATTAAAAAGGGACCAAAACTTTCAACATGGCCTGCAATGGCTCTATCTCTTTAGCCTCGTTTTACATCTTCTTCCCTTCTCCCTCATACTTAAAAGTGTTGTCACTGAGTCTACTCTGCCCTCTTTCTACTCATAGAGACCTTTTCTGTCCTTTAGAGTGCATCTTAATGATCACTTCTTCTGACTTTTAAAATGCATTAAACTTTTCTTACTGTGTTCATCCTACAGTATGCCTCTGTTGCATGGAATGTGTACAGTGGTAATGTTGCATTCACTTGATTTTTTTTCTCTCTTGTCCATGAGTCTCTAATAACCTATGAAATAACCAACAACCAAAATGAAAATTCTTGTTTCCACTTAGAAGGAGCAGCGAAGGTCAGCTGGTTGTCTCAGTATTGGCTCATAGTTACTGAATGCCAAAACAGGCGGGGAGCCCTTTTCCTGCCGAGGTGCATTTGGATATTGATGACATCATTCGCAGGCCATACAAAATCACGAACTTAAGCGTTAGTCTGATATAGAGTCATTGAGTTTCAAATCCCACCTGAGGTTGCTTTGGCAGGGCCAGACCCTTATGCAGCCTGCACAGTGAATATTTCCCATCTCTGATACGTCCTTTATTATGCTAAAAATAGTTGAAAATAGCTTTTTTGGTCACTTTATATGCTTTTTAGCTTATATCACTACTTGGTTATTCTATTGTATTTTATATTATTATTATAGTAGAAAGATGACTCTTTGTCTTCGCTGAACACTGTGGTTTCTGAATTGTTTATTTTCATAGCCCCCACACGCTGGCAAGTTGCTGTCTGTGTTAAAGCATATGCCTCAGAAGTACGGCCCTGATGCCTTTTTCAACTTTCCAGGAAAGAGTGCTGCAGTAAGTAGATACTAATGAGGAAATCCTTTGACATTCTCCTTTCCTTTGCTTCCTCAAAGTATAGTTCTGTAAACACCTTTGGCAGATACTGGGTTAGGTAGAAGCTTCTCTGCACAAGTAACTGAATCTTATAATTTTGTCTGTTATTTTTTCCTGTTTTAGAAGGTGAAGAAACAGAGACTGAATGTAGTGGAGAAAGCTGCTCATTCAAGCAAGCTTGGGTTAATCTTGGAATAAAAACCTAATTCTCACACATATAGTCATGATGTGTGATGAATTTATCTTTGCATTCTGTGTGTGACAACTTCACATCTGTCTTGCTGAACAACTTTCTCTAGCTTTAAATTTCCCGATCTCCCTTTCTTTTATATCTGATATATATAGATGGAGAGTAACTCTTTGAAATTTAACTACACACAGTTTTGTGGCTTGTGAGTTTTCAAATTATGTTGATCATAGCTTAATTATAAGCTGTTGATCAGGTTATAAGTAAGACATTTATGGCTATGATATCTGTAAAGTTTCAAAAGTTATAGAAGCAGGGCTGGCGCTGTGGCTCAGCGGGTTAACGCCCTGGCCTGAAGCGCCGGCATCCCATATGGGCCCCGGTTCTAGACCTGGCTGCTCACTTCCAGTCCAGCTCTCTGCTGTGGACTGGGAAAGCAGTAGAAGTCCTTGGGCCCCTGCACCCATGTGGGAGACCTGGAAGAAGCTCCTGGCTCCTGGCTTCGGATCTGCACAGCTGTGGCCATTGTGGCCAAATGGGGAGTGAACCAGTGGATGGAAGACCTCTCTCTCTTTCTCTCTGTCTCTCCTCTCTCTGTGTAACTCTGACCTTCAAATAAATAAATAAATCTTTAAAAAAAACACAAAAGTTACAGAAGCATATTACATATTATATATATTAAGACTTTTAAAAATTATTATTAATATAAGAAAAATATTTTAAAAGATTTATGTATTTGTTTATTTGAAAGGCACACTGACACAAAGAGGGAGAGACAGAGGCTAAGACAGAAACCTTCCTTCTGCAGGCTCACTCCCAGATGGCTGCAGCATTGTGGCACAAAGAACTGTCTGTCGTGGGTGCTAGAGACGCAGTTACTTGAGCCTTCATCTGCCATTGTGCATATTAGCTTGAAGCAGAATAGCTAGACTCAAACCAGCCCTCTGATACAGGAAATGGGTGTCCCAAGCAGCAGCTTAATCCACTGCAACACCATACTTGACCCAAGCAAAAAAAAATTTTCTTTAAAAGATATCTAGATCTATTTTAATAAGCTGATCTCTCATTCATTTTTATTTCTCTCTCATAAAATCTTTTTTTTTTCTGGTAACAGTGGTAGTTTTTTTCTTTCTATTTTTTAACATGAAATAATTATACATATTCATGGGGCGTGGTGTGATATCTCATTAGATGGACATACAGTGTGCTGATTAAATCAGCATGACTAGCATTTCCATCTTCCTGTAACTTCATTGTGGTTGGAGTTCTCAGATCCTGTCTTCTAATTCTTTATAAAATATAGACAGTGTTGCTGTGAACTATGTCACACACCATGTTGTGGCACTAACTCCTTCTTTCTGGAAACTGGGCCACAAGGTATCTGTGATGAGAACGCCCCTTTAGTCTCAGTATTTTCTTTTTTCTCATAAAATCTTGTTTGCTTTTTAGACCCTACATTGCAGGCTCTATCTGCAGATAGATAAGATTGTATTTTTCAAGGACATTTGTAATTATTTTAATGTTACATGCACAATACAGGACTTTCTTTGAAAAGTTTATTTATGTATTTATTTTTAAAAGATTTTATTTATTTATTTGAGAGGTAGAGCTACAGACAGAGAAAGGGAGAGATGGAGAAAAAAGTCTTCTATCCATTGGTTCACTCCCCAAAAGGCCTCAATGGCCAGAGCAGGGCCGACCTGATGCCAGGAGCCAGGAGCTTCTTCTGGGTCTCCCATGCAGGTGCAGGGGCCCAAGCACTTGGGCCATCTTCCACTGCTTTCCCAGGCCATAAGCAGAGAGCTGGACCAGAAGAAGAGCAGCCAGGACATGAACTGGCACCCATATGGGATGCAGCGTTGCAGGCGGAGGCTTAGCCTATCTATGCCACAGTGTCAACCCCTGGAAAGTTTGATGCCTTTTATTTCTTTTTTCTACTCCACAATTTTCCCTTAAAAGATATTTTAGATTTGAAGCTTTCCTAAGTAACTTTACTATTTTGGTATTGAGCCTAACATTTGCTTCTGACATTAAAAAAAAGGTATTCACATGATATTAATCCCCCTCCCATTTATTACTTACAGTTCTCTGAGACTCTAGTGTGTCCATTCTACTTACTTGCATTTATCTTTGTGTACTGAGAACTTTTAAGTGAAATTTTAAACCAAATGGTAAAGCCATTTGTAGAGTAACTTCTGAATACAGTTTAAAATTGTTATGAACAGGCCGGTGCCGCGGCTCACTAGGCTAATCCTCCGCCTAGCGGCGCTGGCACACCGGGTTCTAGTCCCGGTTGGGGCGCCGGATTCTGTCCCGGTTGCCCCTCTTCCAGGCCAGCTCTCTGCTGTGGCCAGGGAGTGTAGTGGAGGATGGCCCAGGTGCTTGGGCCCTGCACCCCATGGGAGACCAGGAAAAGCACCTGGCTCCTGGCTCCTGCCATCAGATCAGCACGGTGTGCCGGCCGCAGCGCGCCGGCCGCGGCGGCCATTGGAGGGTGAACCAACGGCAAAGGAAGACCTTTCTCTCTGTCTCTCTCTCTCACTGTCCACTCTGCCTGTCAAAAAAAAAAAAAATTGTTATGAACTAATTTTCATACTTGTGGATTAAAAGAAGAAACATATTCCAAGCTGTCTTTTTAAACATTTTTCTTTGCATTTTGTCCATTTTTCTCTATTCTAATGCCTTAACATTTCAGCAAGAAGTTCTTTTAATTGGAACCTCTTTGGATATGTTTATTCTAAGAATTGAAGCAGACATGATTTCTGTGTCCAGCAGGATATACTCTGTTTCTTTAATTAACAGTATTACTATGTATTTGGGAAAATTCAAGTTACTGACAGTCTTCTTCCAAGAATTTAAATCATGTTTAAAGTAATTTACAACAGAAAATGCATGCAGCATTATAAAGTCTCATTTTTGATGGTTTCAGTAGTAAAGTTTTTCATGTGAGTCAGTAACTGAAAGTTTCTTTCCTCTAGGCTATTGCATTACCTCCTATAGCCAAATGGCCATACCAGAATGGTTTTACATTTCATACCTGGCTTAGAATGGATCCTGTAAATAACATCAATGTAGATAAAGATAAACCTTACTTGTATTGGTACGTATTTTTGTAATGGATTAGTGTTAATTTCTTACTTTGGAAATGAGACTCTTTAGGAGGTACAATGACAACTTACTCTTCATAGTTTCAGAACCAGCAAAGGTCTTGGTTATTCTGCTCATTTTGTTGGAGGGTGTTTGATTATAACATCAATAAAGTCAAAAGGAAAAGGCTTTCAACACTGTGTGAAATTTGATTTCAAGCCACAAAAGGTATGTGATCTTACTGAGACATAATTATGTTCACAAACTATGCCATTGTTCATATGCTTTGTTTTAGTGATATTTGCATAACCTGTGCTAAATCACAACTTTCTTTACTATTTCATAAAATGAAGTGGTATATCTCTGGACAGTTCTTAACTGCTTTGGATCATAAAGAGGTTGGATATTTAGCTACTTGCAGAGTTTAAGGGAAATACCATGAGATAGTATAGTGGCAAATACGTGCATTTTGATAGTGTAAATTTGATGTGTGTTTGTACCTTAAAATTTAAAGGTTGTTGGTCAACAGAATTGTAGCAAGTAGGCAGATACATAAAGTAAATATGGAAAAATGTTGAGATTTGAAAAAGTATGCTAGAATTTCAGCTTTTTGGAGGACTGTTTGAAACTTTTCATAATAAGAAATGGGCAAAATAATTTGGAGATTAGTTTCTCATCCCTGAGAGCCTCCCTAAATAAATGCTACAGAAGTTGACTATTTGTTTTTAGGTTTAATTGTAGCATCATTTTATTTGAACTTATTATCGATATGATTACAGTATCATTATCCTTATATGTTTTGCTTATTCAGTGGTATATGGTAACTATAGTACACATTTATAACCGATGGAAGAACAGTGAACTTCGATGTTATGTGAATGGTGAGCTGGCTTCCTATGGAGAAATAACATGGTTTGTCAACACCAGCGATGTAAGTAGTTCCAAAATGTTCCAGTGGAAGGAAGTTATTTTAAAAGCATAAACTTTTCAAATCAGAAACTGTTTTAGAACTTGAATATAAATTCAGGACTACAACCGTGGTGGATTTTTATAATCATAATTTTTGTAGTATGTTATAAATAGAATTTGGTACTGTGTTATATATTACTCAATCCATATAGTAAAATTCTCCTGGATAGAGTAGAGATAAGAATTTATAGGTAACAGCAACTGTATCTTGATGGTGTTTGCATCATTGTTTCATTGAGGAAAATAAATAGAAGTTCTGTTACAGACTTCTGATCATTTTTATGAGTTGATGTGTGCTTATAAATGTTGCATATTTATGTCTACAGATAACTATCATATGTTCAGGATTCAAAAAGAGATTCAGAGGATAGAATTAAATTAAAAATATCCTTATTTCTCTCCTAAAACCATTTTTCTAATAGAAAACGTAAAAAAAATAGGGAACATGAATACATAGCATCCACCATTTACTTCTTTTGTATCCTTGTTTTACATTTGTGCATGTTGTGTAATCCGACTGTTAAGAGCTCATGATGTTGTATCAGGTTTGAATCCCAGGTCTGTTGCTTACTGACTCTATGATCTTACCATATCCATTAAGCCTTAGGTTTTTCTTCTACCATAGTTTTATCCACCTGAAAAATGAGAGTAAAGTAGTACTTACAAAAGAAGATTCTTGTGCTGATTAAATGTGATAATGTTCATAATTCAAGGACTCAAAAAAAATACTCATTCCGTATGTCCTAAAGCTGAGTCAGTATTTTCCTCCTTGTATCAAAGCCTGCTCTTCTGCCTGGAGTTTTGGTTGTTCCACTATGAACCTCCACAGCCATCATAATTTTTCTCCTTTTTTGTCTCCACTTGGTCGTCAAGTTTTGTTGATTGTACTTTGGGAAATGTGTGTTGCCTCCTTTTGTATGATGTCTTCACTGATCTCCAGATGAAAAGGAATGAAGTGAAATGCTAAATAAATTATTTGATATGTATAGATAAAGTTTAGAATGGACAAAATATTTATACCTATAAGGGTTTTTATTATTTCTAAAGGTTATACTTTCTTATTTTTTTTCTTTAATGAAATCTTTGTCTTTCACAGACTTTTGACAAGTGTTTCCTGGGCTCCTCAGAAACCGCTGATGCTAATAGAGTATTCTGTGGCCAGATGACAGCAGTTTACCTGTTTAGTGAAGCTCTCAATGCAGCTCAGATATTTGCCATTTATCAGTTGGGCCTGGGATATAAGGTACTTTAATGTTCACTACTTAGCCAATGTTAGTTGACCTGAATTTGAAGGTGGATTATACATGGGAGATTTATCTTGAGGCACCAAACTGAGGTCAGGGTAATCAGGAATTCCACAAGGAAGTTTCAGTAGTCTAAAGGGTACTTTAAACTTTTGAGGAAAGGATAGCATACTTGATTTATAGGAGGTAGTTTGCAAACTACTTGTTCAAGTTTCAGTGTTCATGCCGTGTTTCTTTTGATGATGATGTGTCTTTGCACAGCTAAGTTTTTGACAGTGGCTGTGATAGAAAAGCAAGTATTACGTGAAAATCAACCTAGGACAGGAAATCAGGATGGTGGTATACAATCTGACTCCAAGGTTTGAGAAATGTACAATGCCCAATATGTACATACATTCCATTAATAAACACTTTTGCTACTATAAGTAAGTTAACATTATTTTCAAGGCCCATGTGACTTTGCCCAGTAGGTTTTCAGACCTGGCCTCCATTTTAGTTTACTTTAACACATGCCACTACAAAAAAATCTGTGAAACTCCTAGGAAGAATTGAAGAGAGGAAAGTGAACAAAATAGCTAAGACATACAGGAAACAGTTATCAAAGTATTCCTTAAGTTCTTCTTTATCAGTATTTTTTTTAAAAGAATTATTTATTAATTTAAAAATCAGAGTAACAGAGAGAGAAGGAGAAATAAAGAAAGAGAAATCTTTCATCCACTGGTTGATCTCAGAGGTGACTACAGTGGCCACAGTTGGGTCAGTCTGAAGCCAGGAGTTTCTTCCAGATCTCCCATGTGGATGCCAGGGGTCCAAGCACTTGGGCCATTGCTTTTCCAGGGCCATTAGCAGGAAGCTAGATCGGAAGTGGAGCAGCCAGTACACAAATCAGTGCCCATATGTGATGCCAGCATTGCAGGCAGTGGCTTTACCCACTGTGCTGCATCCCTGGCCCGTCTATCAGTAGTTTTTTACTTAAAAAGATTGAACTCCCCAATTGAAGAACATAGATTAACTGGGGCCGGCGCTGCGGCTCAATAGGCTAATCCTCCACCTGCGGCGCCGGCACACCGGGTTCTAGTCCCGGTCAGGGCGCCGGATTCTGTCCTGGTTGCTTTTCTTCCAGGCTAGCTCTCTGCTCTGGCCCGGGAGTGCAGTGGAGGATGGCCCAAGTCCTTGGGCCCTGCACCCGCATGGGAGACCAGGAGAAGCACCTGGCTCCTGGCTTCGGATCAGTGCGGTGCGCCGGCTGCAGCGGCCATTGGGGGGTGAACCAACGGAAAAGTTAAGACCTTTCTCTCTGTCTCTCACTCACTGTCCACTCTGCCTGTCCAAAAAAAAAAAAAAAAAAGAATTTAAAAAAATGTGTTTATAAGACAGTCACTCTATTTATTTTTAAAGATTTATTTTATTTATTTGAAAAACAGAGTTACAGAAAGAGGTAGAGACAGAGAGAGGTCTTCCATCCGCTGCTTTACTTCCCAAATCGTTGCAATGGCTGGAACTAAGCTGATCCAAAGTCAGGAGCTTTTTCTTTTTCTCTCTTTCTTTCTTTCTTTTTTTTTTTTTTTTTAAAGATTTATTTACTTATTTGAAAGTCAGCATTATATGGAGAGAGAAAGAGACACAGAGAGAGAGGTCTTCCACCCGCTGTTTCACTCCTCAATTGGCTGCAATGGCCGGAGCTGCGCTGATCTGAAGCTGGGAGCCAGGAGCTTCTTCTGGGTCTCCCACACAGGTGCAGGGGCCCAAGGACTTGGGCCATCTTGTACTGCTTTCCCAGGCCATAGCAGAGAGCTGGATCAGAAGTGGAACAGCCAGGACATGACCCGGCGTCCATATGGGATGCCGGCACTACAGGCGGCGGCTTTACCAGCTGTGCCACAGTGCCGGCCTCAGGAGTCAGGAGCTTCATCCGGGTCTCCCACTGTGGGTACAGGAGCACAAGCCCTTGGACCATCTTCTACTGCTTTCCCAGATGCACTAGTGGGAATCTGGATCGGATGTGGAGCAGCCAGAATTGCAGCTGGCACCCAGGTGGGATGCTGGAGCTGCAGGCTGGGCTTTAACAACCGTTATGCACAGTGCTGGCTGAAGATACCCACTTTAGATCTAAGGCTACATGTAGCCTACATATGAAGGGAACAAGATGCTCCATGCAAATGGTAACCAAAAGAGGTGGCTGTACTTGTATCAGACAAAATGTACTTTAAGTCAAAAACTGTCATAAGAGACAAAGCAGGACATTGTATAATGATATGAGGGTTAATTCACCAAGAAGATATAATGAATATGAATCAGAATGTCCAAATACAATCTTGTGTTGTTTGACATTTGGGACAGCATCTGGGAAATGTGTCATTAGGAGATTTTGTCATTATGCTAACACTACTGTGAACTTACACAAGTTAAAGCTGTTGTGATGTTATCCTATGTGGCACATGAAGCAAACCTTTACAGAAATGAAGGGAGAAAGACAGCAACACAATGATAGTATGAGCCTTCAACACTGAATTTTCAGTAATGTATGTAATAACCAGAGAGAAGATCAATAAGGAAACAGAGGACCTGAACAAAAATATAAACCAAGTGGACTTAACAGGCATATACAGAACTCTATGCAATAAAGAATACACATACATTTTAAGTGCATGTTGAACATTCTTCAAGAGAGACCATGTGTTAGGCTACATACCAAGTGTTAATTTAGTTAAGAAGATTGACATCATAGGATTTTGTTTTCCTGACTGCAGTAGAATGAAACTGGAAGTAAATAGTAGAAGGAAAGCCGGAAAATCCACAAATACGTGGAAGTTAAACAACATGTTATTAAACAACCTTTGGGCCGAAGTAGAAGCCATGAGGGAACTTAGGAAATATTTTTAGGGAAATGAAATGGAGGCACAGTATACCAAAATAAATGGGATGGTGTGAAAACAGTTCTAAGAGTAGTAAACTTTATACTTAGAAAAATTAATAATATATCTCCTTAAATTTTTATATCTGGAACAATTTGTATTTAGATGTTTCTTTTGTAGCATAGTTTCTTAACTATTCTTTTTTATTTACTTATAGGGTACATTTAAATTCAAAGCAGAAAGTGACCTTTTCCTTGCAGAACATCACAAACTTCTATTGTATGATGGCAAACTCTCTAGTGCCATTGCATTTACTTACAACCCACGGGCTACAGATGCCCAGCTTTGCCTCGAATCATCTCCCAAGGACAACCCTTCAATTTTTGTTCATTCACCACATGCACTCATGCTCCAGGTACTAACTGTGATGTTTTCAGAATATTTTTAATGGTAATTTTTGCTATATTATTGAGATCTATTTGATAGTTCCGATTAAACACATGTAGTGTCACATTTTAGTTTTCCTGCATATGTCGATATATTTTATTTTTGTCTTAGAAAACAAATTGGTGAAATCTTCACTTTGTTTTCTGTTTTGCAAGGATGTAAAGGCAGTTTTAACACATTCCATCCAAAGTGCTATGCATTCAATTGGAGGTGTACAAGTGCTGTTTCCACTTTTTGCACAGTTGGATTATAGGCAGTATTTATCTGATGAGGTCGACTTGAGTATCTGGTGAGTTCTTTTATTTTATTCTTTAATTTGGTGTGAGTTACTTCCATTGCTTTTGAGCTGCACAACATTTTCTTTGCCTTTCAACTTGGCCGTTAAGTCAAAATATTTTAATGAAATATAAACAGAAGTAGATATCCAGATCAACTTTCTTGTTTTTCAGTAGGAAAAGTGGAAGCTCTAAAAAACAGTCGGGACAGATGTTTGCCTCATTGGTTAAGTTCCCACTAGGAACACCTGCATCCATATTGGTGTGTTTGGTTTTGAGTCCTGGCCACTCTGTTTCTTATCCAGCTTCCTGGATAAGGAAGTACCTGGCTCAGGTACTTGGGTCCCTGCTCCCTACATGAAGACCCAGATGGAGTTCCAGGAACTTGCCTTTGGCTTGGTCCAGCCCAGGCTGTTGAGGGCATTTGGGGAGTGAACCAGCAGATGAAAGATGTTTTCCTCTCTGAATGTTTTCTCTGTCCCTATCTCTCTGCATTTCAAATAAAATAAAATAAAAATTTATGAATGTAATAATTAAAAAACATAATAAAGTTGTTTTGGAATAAAGTATAAATGGTGACAGTGGATGTCTCAAAAATGAATACACTTTCAAGTAATTTTTACAATATTTAAAATTTTTATTTGGCAGTGATTTACTATGAGAATTTAACTTTTAATATTTTAAATATTTTTTACTGATTATATATATGTAATTGAAAGCCAACAATTTTTGGGTCACTACTGTGGCATAGAAGGTTAAGCCTCTGCCTGCAGTCCTGACATCCCATTTGTGTGCCAGTTCAAATTCCGGATGCTCCACTTCGAATCCAGCTCCCTGCTAATGTGCTTGGGCCCTTACACCCATATGGGAGACTGGAAGAAGCTCTTGGCTCCTGGCTTTGGCCTGGCCCAGCCCTGGACATTGTGGCCATTTGAGGAGTGAACCAGTAGATGGAAGATATCTCTATCTCTCTTTCTTTCTCTGTATTTCTGCATTTCAAATAAATAAATAAATCTTTAAAAAAAAGAAAGTAAAAAATTGTAATGGTGTAGTGTAAGAGGTGATTCAGTTTTTTTACCATTAGACTATACTTTTGTCAAATTTTGTGTCTTGTGTTAATAATGTTTAGTCTAACACGAGTCAGAGGCATAGGAAATTTCCTAGGATAAGTTATAAAATGTTGGAGAGGATGTCTAAGTGAATATCATTTGACCATAATTCTGTTGAAATTGTGGTAAAATAGTTATGTTTCATTATGATTTCAAGAATTTAAATGAAATTTTATTCTCCACTTTTGAGATTCTTTGTTTGATATCTGCATTTATACACAACTTGATGCCGAGGACCAAATAATTAATGATGAAATGAGCTATTAAATCTAATATTTATCAACTGTATTTTAAAATATTGAAATGAAGTTATTCTTGACATAATACTTCATAGATTTTTTTTTGTTTGCCTGTTCTTTCAACTTTACTGTAATTGCTGGCAGAAAGTAATTGTGGAGGAGCAAGGAGCAGGAGGTTAGCTGTCAGTCCTGCTCTCTCTTTGTGGGATCCTCCTAGAACCTTTGAGAAGGTGGTAATGGCTGACCTTACCCCTTTATCTTCGGTGTATTTTTAAATATTTTGGGGAGTAGAGCATGGTTGTACTCCTTATGCAGTTTTAAAAGTCTTTAAAAATGGATGATTACACTATTCCTGTTGAAATAATGAACAAACTGCTTAGATTGGTGTTCAGCAACTCAAATTTTTCTCCAGATTACTTCTTCATCTTTTCTTCATGTACTTCTGTGCTAAATTCACACATGATCATCCTAGAACCCTAAAGTATTTTTTTTTTAAAGATTTATTTATTCGAAAGGCAGAGTTACAGGGTGGGGAGTCTTCCTTCTGCTGGTTTACTCCCCAAATGGCCTCCACGACCAGTGCCGGCCTGATCTGAAGCCAAGATCCTGGAGCTTCTTCTGGGTTTCCCACGTGGGTGCAGGGGCCTAAAGACCTGGGCCATCTTCTACTGCTTTCCCAGGCCATAGCAGAGAGCTGGATCAGAAGTGGAGCAGCCGGAACCTGACCGGTGCCCATACAGAATGCTGGCACTGCAGGCAACGGCTTTACGTGCTATGCCACTGAGTGAGGCTCCGAAAGTATTTTGAGGGTGTATGCCTTGGTTTGTTTACTTCAGTGTCGTTAGCTCCATTTGGCCAAAGCTGCACATACTTTCTCATCTATGACCCTTCCATCCAAAAGAACTTGACATATCTTCATTAGCTATTTACATTCCTTTTTTCGAGCACTGCTCATTTTTCTCTATATTATATATTTTGTCATATTGTTTCTTTTATTTATTTATTTTTAAAGATTTATTTATTTTATTTGAAAGGCAGAGTTACAGAGAGGCAGAGGCAGAGAGAGAGAGAGAGAGGTCTTCCATCTGCCGGTTCAGTCCCTAACTGGCTGCAACGGCTGGAGCTGTGCCGACCCCAAGCCAGAAGCCAGGAGCTTCCTCTGGGTCTTTCCATGCAGGTGCAGGGACCCAAGGACTTGGTCCATCTTCTACTGCTTTCCCAGGCCACAGCAGAGAGCTGGATTGGAAATGGATCAGCCGGGACTCACCCATATGGGATGCTGGCACTGCAGGCAGCGGCTTTACCTGCTAAGCCTCAGTGCTGGCCCCTGTAATATTGTTTCTTTTTCTTTTTTTAAGAAATACCTTTGATGCCAAAAGGAATAATTTATTGTTTAAATTTCAGTTTCCCAGAAAATATGACAACTCAAACCATATTTTCCAAGCATTTCCAGTGGCCAACATTTATGTTGAGTTGAAGGATTCTAAAAGAGTAATAGACTTTCTGAATACCAGTTAAATTGATCTCAGAAAATTATAGGGTTGAAAGCTGTTTGTTTTGCTGAGACTGACAGTCCAAGCACCCCCCATTTTAAGTGTTTCTTCAAGGCACCCATGCCTGCTGGGCTTGCAACCTTTGCCTGAGAATGCAAACAAGGAGGACACTTAGAATCCTCTGAGGCTGTTTTGTTAGAGCATTTTTTTTTTCTTAAATTAAAAAATGTATTTGAGAGGCAGAGAGAGACAGTGCAAGAAAGTGTACTCATTTGTTAGTTCACTCCTCAAATGTGTGCAACAGACAGGAACTCAATCTAGGTCTCCCACATGGGTAGTGGGGACCCAGCTACTTGAGTTATCACCACTGCCCAGGATCTGCATTAACAAGAAGCTGGTATCAGGAGCCAGAACTGGGAATCAAACCCAAGTTGTTGAAGTGGGGCATGAGGTGTGTCTTAACCACATCCCTACTTAGAGCATTATTTAATAATTCTGTTGTCTGCCTCTATACAACTCCCACTTAGCACTTCTAATTTAAGAAAACAAAACTCATCTCAATATTTCTCTCAGTGAGTAAGAGTACCAGGGCAAGAAAATAAAATAGGAGTGTTCAGCAAGGACCCCAGCAGGGTGCTGAAGCCAGGAAGATTAGTTTCATGGGTCAGGTCCTGGTTCCTCGGCTGGGCAAACTTCTGGATGGACTGCTCACAGAGTGGTTTTAGCCTATATTCTTTACAGCTACAATAGTCACTAATATAATGATACAGCACATATCTGTATTGAGTATCTGCATTGTGCTCGGCACTGGGCTAGACTCTTGACTCTGCTTATGCCATTTAATGATCAACAAACTCAAATCTTGTTCATCTTAAAGATGATGAAACTGAAACTATAAATTGAGTAACTTTGCCAAGGATATAGCTCCAGTGACTAGTGGCATTGGAATTCAGACCTTGGTCTGCCACAGCCAGCACTTTTCTAACACTGCATTTTTGCAGTGTTGCCTCCTGGAGGTGGTGATGTGTGGACCTTTGCATGTTCCCTCATCAGTCCATGCCACCTCCGTTATTTCTTCTGAATGAACTCAGTTTAGAGAGCTGAGACTTCCAGGTCTGCCACACCAGCATGACTGGGATTCCAGTCTTTCTCCTCTTCCTGATACCTCTCTCTTCTCATTGTCAAAATTGAGCATACATGGGGTTGAGACTGTGGTGTAGTAGGTTAAACCTCTGCCTGCAGCACTGGCATCCCATATGTCCGCTGGCTTGAGTCCTGGCTGCTCCACTCCCAGCTCCCGCCAATGGCCTGGGAAAGCAGCAATAGATGGCCCAAGTGCCTGGGCCCCTGAACACATGCGGGAGACCTGGAAGAAGCTCCTGGCTCCTGGCTTTGTGTCGGCCCAGCTCCAGCCATTGTGGCCATTTGGGGAGTGAACCAGCGATGGTTCACTGTCTCTTCCTCTCTGCAACTCTGCTTCTCAAATAAATAAATAAATCCTAACAACAACAACAACAAAAAACCTGAGCACTCTCCTATTACTTTTAGAGGTATCTCCCTGTTCCTGTTTACAGATGTATTCTAAGCATAGCTAATCTGCATCGGTAGGTGTGAGAAACTACTTTCATGTCCTTCAACTGGGTCAAAAGAGCCTTAGAACACCTTGGTGTAAAAGGTTGGGGACTCTAAGCTAAACAGGATGACCAGGTTAAAGAGTGATTATGTCTTCTAAGTCTTCCAGTTCCCATCCTGGTGTGGAAATAAAGTGCTGAAGACCACAGTTATGACAACAGCACAGTTGAGCTCCGTTCTTGGCCTGTGTTCAGGTGAAATTTAATGCCCCGTGAAACAAAGCTCTGGGAAAACACTGCAGCATACAGTACATAAAAGGAAGAGATAATGGAACCTCTTCAAGTATTTCCATAGTACTTTATTTAATTTTAAAGATTTATTTATTTATTTGAAAGGCGGAACAACAAAGAAGGAGAAACACAGAGAGATCTTCCATCTCTAGATGGCTGGGGGCTGTGCTGGGTCAAAGCCAGAAACTTCCCCCAGGTCTCCCCTGTGGTTGGAGGGGCCCAAGCCACAGGCCACACTTTGTCTCCCTCCCAGGCACATCAGCAGGAAGCTGCACTGCAGGTGGAGCAGCTGGGGCAGGAGCCAGTGCCCAGATAGGATGGCTGCACTGCAGGCAGAGGCCCAGCTTGCCATGCCACAAGGCAGACCTGCCCATAGTACTTTTTTTTTTCCTTTTCAAACTCCCCCCCTCCAAAAAACATTTATTTAAGGAATACAAACTTAATGCATTTTCTAAGTAAAACTTCAGGACTATAGTGATCATATTGTTTCTAACTTATTAATGGTTGTGATAAAGTATGTGAAATATTCTTATTTATTTATTTGTTTGACAGAGTTATAGACTGAGAGAGAGAGACAGAGAGAAAGGTCTTCCTTCCATTGGTTCACTCCCCAAATGGCTGCTACAGCCAGCGCTGCACCGATCCGAAGCCAAGAGCCAGGTGCTTCTTCCTGGTCTCCCATGCGGGTGCAGGGACCCAAGCACTTGGACCATCCTCCACTGCCCTCCCGGGCCACAGCAGAGAGCGGTACTGGAAGAGGAGCAACCGGGACTAGAACCCGGCGCTCACATGGGATGCTGACGTGGAGGATTAACCAAGTGAGCTACGACGCTGGCCCCAATATATGAAATATTCTAATACATACAAATCTTACATTAAAAATCTAGTTATGAAATGATGTTGAAGCAGTTTTGGTACTACTTCCAATGGAGAACTTTTTATTAACATAAATAGAAGAGCACATCTATCTAACCTAATATGTTTTACAATAGAATTTTTTTAAAGATTTATTTATTTCTTTGAAAGGCAGAGTTACAGAGAGGCAGAGGCAGAGAGAGAGGGAGAGGTCTTCCATCTACTGTTTCACTCTCCAAAAGTCTGCAATGGCCGGAGCTGGGCTGATCTGAAGCCAGGAGCCAGGAGCTTCTTCCAGGTCTCCCGTGTGTGTGCAGGGACCCAAGTACTTGAGTCATCTTCTGATTTCCCAGACCATAACAGAGAGCTGGATCAGAAGTGGAGCAGCTGGGACTTGAACCAGTGCCCATATGGAGTGCTGGCATTGAAGGCAGCAACTTTACCCACTATACCACAGTGCCAGTCCCAAAGATGTTTTATTAAACCATTGCCATTTTTCTTATTCTAGTTCAACCTTGCTGGCCTTCATCATGGAGTTGTTGAAGAACTCAATTGCCATGCAGGAGCAAATGCTTGCCTGTAAGGGCTTCTTGGTAATAGGATACAGCCTTGAAAAGGTAATGTAGGAAATACTGTTTTTTACTTCTTAATTTGCAGGCCTTGTACTTGTTCTCTCAGGTGGTAAAGAAATATCTCTTTGGTTACTGAAAATTACCTAAATTAAAATTACATTCTGCTGTTTCATCTTGCTTCCATTCATCCATTAATGACATGTGATGATGAGCCTAATGGCATCTTTAACTTTGAACATAGTTTGTGGACCAACTTTTTTCTGGTATTGACAGCTGTAATTTACTTACCTTGCCTTGAATAGGCAGTGACCTTTGGGCTACTTTTCTTTGCAGTCTTCCAAATCCCATGTCAGCAGAGCAGTACTTGAACTTTGCCTTGCATTTTCAAAATATCTCAGTAATCTGCAGAATGGGATGCCTCTACTCAAGCAATTGTGTGATCACATTCTTCTTAACCCTGCCATATGGATTCATACCCCAGCCAAGGTAAGAGCAAGATTTTGTTGTACTCTCTTGGCTACGTTTTTATGCTTGAGAGGAGTGAGAATTATGAAGATTTTCTTTTATCCTTTCATGCACCATTATGTCAGGTTTTAGTGGATTGCCTTTTTTGACTAGGCATACTTTTTTTTCAGGAAAATTTGCAATCAGGATGTATTTTTTCTTTTAAAAATTGTCATTTTAAAAAATAGAGCTATGGTCTTTATTTTTTTATTTTTATTTTTTTAAATTAAAAAAAAATTTTTTTTTGACAGGCAGAGTGGACAGTGAGAGAGAGAGCCAGAGAGAAAGGTCTTCCTTTTTCCGTACGTTCACCCTCCAATGGCCGCTGCGGCCGGCGTGCTGCGGCCGGCACACCATGCTGATCCGAAGCCAGGAGCCGGGTACTTCTCCTGGTCTCCCATGGGGTGCAGGGCCCAAGTACTTGGGCCATCCTCCACTGCACTCCCTGGCCACAGCAGAGAGCTGGCCTGGAAGAGGGGCAACTGGGACAGAATCCAGCGCTCCGACTGGGACTAGAACCTGTTGTGCTGGTGCCGCAAGGCGGAGGATTAGCCTAGTGAGCCGCGGCGCCGACCGAGCTATGGTCTTTATATTCAGCTGTTAAATGAAGTTTCATTTGAGATTTTGTTTACTAAATATATATCAAAGTTGGAAGGTTCCAGTGTAAATGTAGTTTTTACCACTAACCATATGTATTGTTTCATTAAGAAAATTTTTTCCCTCTACTTGTTAACAAGTCACCCTGTTCCCTGTGTCTCCCTATTCTATGCACACTTTTGCCTTCTGCCAATGTGATCAACTGCTGAGTTTCATTCTTACAGGTATAGCTGAAATGTTACCATTTTCTTAAAGATGTGATATACTGATCTCATTTAATCAATTTAATTTCACATGAACTCAAATGATTTAAACATACTATATTTATACCAAATAATTATTCTTTGTGCTCTTTTAACAGTGAGTCAGTTCTGTGAAGTTGTGATAAGGTGTTTGAACAAAAATCTTTAAAATTCGAATGTTGTATTACAGTGTCCTAAAAAATTTAGTAGTGGTAGAATTAAACAAAATATGAAACAGAAATTTTTATTAAATTGCATAAATGCATCCATCTTATCTGTAGTTTCTGTCAGAAGTTGTCTGTTCTTCTGTCCTCCCCTTTTTTTTTGTCCACTTGCAGGGTATGAGTATATTATTGTTTAGGTTGGAATAGCACATACTTATTCTAGTTGTCAGAGAAAAAAAGAGTCTGCAGACTTTTTTGCTTTTCTAGTCATAATATCTTATTTTCAGCTGCTCTTTTCAAATGTTAAAGAGAAAAACAGCTGCTGACTTGGATTGCCATTTGGAAATAATCAGAGGAGGCAGCTGGAGGTTGTAGCTTTTTATCTCCAGGTTAAATTTGACCTCTTTCTCTCTGATGACCTTCAGTCTTATTTCTTTTCAAGGATTGTTTCAAGTTACTTTTTAGATTCTCTACTAGACTCCTTTTGTCTTAACTAACCAGCATATTTGTAAAGTTTTGGATCTCTTTTGATGTTGTCAGAATGCCTCTTATTAGATATTTAAATGTAGGGGGATATTTTAAAGATTTTATTATATGATTTTCTTAGGTTTCTAGTACTATTACACTGTGTTTCTTACCTTATGCTTTGTAATAAGTTTTCTTAATTTCCTGTCCATTATTTGGAACTGTTTTGATAATATTGAACTTTTCTTATTAAATTAAATATTAAACCTTTTCTGTTTTTAGCTCTCTGTGTATCCTTGGGCTGTTTTAGTTGCTTTTATTTATTTATAAAGGTAGATATAACAAAGGGCAGATCCCAATTCGTGTCAATTCTCCATTCTAGTTTTTCTAGCTTAAAAACTCCATTATACTCTGGATAGGCAGACACCAAAAGGTTCCCCTGAAGCAATTTGCTGTTGATAGAATAAATGGGGGGAGGTGTTTAATAAAAAAATGGAGCCTACGTCTACACCAGATTCTCGCTTCATTAGTCTGGAGTTGGATTCAGACATCAGTATTGTTTTAAAAATGTTTTCTAGTTTTTTAAACTTTATTTATTTGACAAGTACAGGTGCTGGGGGTGCAGGGAGAGGGAGCGAGCGAGCTCCTACCCTCAGGTTCACTCCCCAAATGCCCGCAACAGCTGGGAGGGGCCAAAGCTGCGAACTAGGAACTCAGCTTTGGTCTCCCATGTGAGTGACAAGGCCCCAACTACTTAAGTCATAATTACTGCCTCCCAAGGTTTGCATTAGCAGGAAATTGGAATTCGGAGCTGGAGCTGAGAGTTGAACCCAGGCACTCCAATGTGGGATGTAGTTGTCATAGCTAGCATCTTAGGCTCTGTGCCGAGCACCTACCCAACCAGTTATTTTCATGTACAGTTAGATTTGAGAACGGCTTTTCCAGGTCTAAGGAAACTTTTTATGTCAACCACCATTTTCCTTGCTTGAAATTTTCTGTGTTGTTCTGTTTGCCTTTTCTACTACTCATCTTCAAAGTCTCTCTTAATACTACTTGATTAGGGAAGTATTTTTTAACTGTTTAAGCTTATCCTGTAATGGTTTCTCTGGCCTCTGAATTCACAGTATTTAATTACATTTTACTTCATGACCTTTTTAATGTTTTTTGTACATATATTTATTATCTTTTAATTTTTGGTATAGATTTGTATATAATTTTTATCTTTTCAACTGTATTTCAGCTACTGTAGGACAGCTTATGTTCCATTGTATTCCCCATAATACAGTGCTGTTCCTAGAGAGAGATGTAAATATATGCTGGATGGCTGAAATAATGTGGTTAAGAATTTGAACTATTTTGTAGAAAGTGTTATATTGCCTCAGTGACAAGGAGATTAGGCCTATCCATTTGAACAGTGGTAACTGAGTCAAAATAATGTTATCATTCAGCAAATCAGTGGATGACAGCATATATATGGTTTTCTAAACTGCAGTCATCTTCTAAGCCCCATTTTTAAGGGATTCAGGGTCTGCCATTTTTTAATATGTGAAATTACTAATTAACTCTCCAGTTCGTTTATCCTAGATTATTTATAAGGCATTTTAAAAATAGGAACTTGATTTTTGCTCTCTTAAGATGTCCTCAAGAGACACTAAGGTATCTTGCAGAGATGAAAATGAAAATACTCCAAATGCTCAGGATTTTTGCTTTTTTTTTTTTTTTAAAGATGATTTATTTGAACAGCAGAGTTACAGAGAGGCGGGGGGGGTGTCTTTTTTTTTTTTTTTAATTTTTTTTTTGCCAGGCAGAGTTAGACAGTGAGAGATACAACGAGGGAGTTATAGACAATGAGAGAGAGACAGAGAGAAAGGTCTTCCTTCCGTTGGTTCACTCCCCTAATGGCCGCTACGGCCAGCTCTGTGAAGCCAGGAGCTGGGTACTTCCTCCCGGTCTCCCATGCAGGTGGAGGGCCCAAGGACTTGGGCCATCTTCCGCTGCCCTCTTGGGCCACAGCTGGACTGGAAGAGGAGCAACCGAGACTCGTACCTGGCACCACAACTGGGACTAGAACCCGGGGTACCAGTGCCACAGGCGGAGGATTAGCCAAGTGAGCCATGGCGCCTGCCCAAATGTTCAGGTTTAATTGTAAATGACTGAGTAGTTTGGTCTGTGCTCAGAATGAGAGTATATGTAGTGTCCTTTTAGTTGTTGAGTTTATACAATATATCCAGTAGCAGTAAAATGAAAAATTCTTGACTTCAACATGAGAACAGAACAAAAACAGTTCTTTTTTGTGCTACCACTAGGTACTAGGGTATGGTTGCCAGTGAATTTCAGAGCCATATTTTACTGGTATTTTCTGTTAAGTTGAAATGTGCAGTGATGGGGTAGGAACTCATATTCTTACATTTTCTTACCTACAAAAAGAACTTATTTTGAAATTAATGCAAATGTGTTTATTTAGACTATTTATGAATGAGACTAGTAGAATCCTTTCCTAATTAGAGAACGATGATACACATGTTTAGATTGTAATGTTATGATTAAAATGCTGGATTAAAATCTTTCTAATAGTGATGTTATATGAGAATTGTTTTTTAATAAATGTTTGTCAATGTAATCTCTATTTTTTTACTATGATTGTCTTTATTTTGGTTTGTACTTTAAAAAGCTTTTTAGTTACTACTACTTCTTCTTTTGAGCCATTCCAGCTTCTAATTTTATTCAAAACAAAAATTTAACTTTTTAAGATAGCTATGTGTATAGTGATGAGTTTATTATAAAGAAGTTATAAATGCTCATATATAATTGCTGATAACTAAACAGCATCAAAGTTTATTTCCATGGAATAGTGCTATAAAAATTTGATATTGGGGGTTTATTTACTTTATAAGGCTACCATAAAATGAGAAATTACTTGATTTGGTTTTTTACAGAGTATGTGCATGTGCTTGTGTGTCAGGGGATATGTATTATCCAACATATGTGTTAGCAAGCTCTGCATCTTACTTTTTCCATCAAGTACAGAGCAAATAAAGCAGCCTGAGAGTGGTAGTGGAACCAGGGTGCCCTTTGATTTAAGGCCCTCACTTTGATTCTGTAGGTTCAGTTGATGCTGTATACTTACCTGTCCACGGAATTCATTGGTACGGTCAACATCTATAATACTATTCGGCGAGTTGGAACAGTGCTTCTCATCATGCACACACTGAAGTACTACTACTGGGCAGTGAATCCTCAGGATCGAAGTGGTATCACCCCGAAAGGATTAGGTATATCATCTCTGTGTATATATTATGTTACACATATGGAAATCAGGATTTTGTTCTTTTTTCTTTCAAGCAATACTGTTGTTTAATTCAGGCAGTTTTTCTGAGTCTCATTATGGCAAATTTTTATTTTAATCTTATTGACAATTTTAATATTTCATTCTAAATTGTGATTAATTAGTTACTGATATTGATGCAGAGATTGATTTTCACAGTGAGATTCATTAGTGTTTTTTGGAGATGGAGATATCTTGCAGAAGTGGAGGTAACTTCATCTGATAAAGATATAATGAAAGTATGATATTTCAGTAATTATTTTCCTGCATAATCAGTACTAACTTACTAAAAATATTCATTTGTGATGTTAGCTGCTCATGGAAGTGGTCAAAATAAAACTTTTGACAGGTGTGGCGCTCTTGGTTGTACCTTGCAAGAACGACTTCAAAATGGCATGTGTCAAAAAGAGCAGTTAATTTGTCAAAAAACAAAAAAGGAGTTAATTAGCTCATATAAAACTGGTAGTTTCAGGTGTAGCTTGATTGAGGTGTTCATAATATGGCTATAGGGCCTAATTTTGTCTCTCAACATTTACTAATTCTTCTGTGTTTGTTGTTTTTGCATATTCTCTCCCTTTGTAGTAGTAGGCAGACAATATACCGTCATATCTTCACAACTTTAAATTCAGCAAAAGAGGATCTGTCTGTATCAGGCATTTCCAACAAGTTTCTCTTATTTTGGTTTCCTTGTTGGTCTTTAGATCTGATTGCAAGACACACCCATTTTTGTGGCAATTATTGCTCTGAGTGTCCAGAGTTGGAGGCGCCCTCCTGCCTACCTTAAAAACACATGGATTGAAGGGGCCAGCACCATGGCTCACTTGGTTAATCCTCTGCCTGTGGTGCTGGCATCCCATATGGGCACCAGGTTCTAGTCCAGGTTGCTCCTCTTCCAGTCCAGCTCTCTGCTGTGGCCCAGGAGGGCAGTGGAGGATGGCCCAAGTGCTTGGGTCCCTGCACCCGCATGGGAGACCAGGAAGAAGCACCTGGCTCCTGGCTTCGGATTGGCACAGTGCCGGCCATAGTGGCCATTTGGGGAGTGATCCAACAGAAGGAAGACCTTTCTCTCTGTCTCTCAGTGTCTATAACTCTACCTGTCCAAAAAAAAAAAAAAGGAAAGAAAAACACACACACACAGATTGAAAGTGAAGATGGTTTTGGTCCCTTGAGAAAAATAACTAAAGCCTGTTGCTTACTTGAAATTTAGGAAATTAGTTGCTGGGGAGTCAACCAACATATTCTCTGATTATAGTCAAAGACTTTAGTTCAGTAATTTACAAAGACAAGCTTTCATAATTGTACAGTCCTTTTTATATCACTTTGAAAATAAACTCAGTTTATTTATTTACTATACAACTCAGGTTGTATAGTATCAGTAATTTAGAGATCTCTGAGGATACAAACAAATTATATGATTTGTTGAAGCTGACAAGGTTGTGGCTGACCTAGTACCAGTTCCGAATTTCCTCGTGACTATTTCCTGAGCTTTGAATGTATCATGTATGGTCCTGGGTGCTAGTTTTGTATTCTGTTCTTCTCTGTGTAATTAACTAGTGAGTTTGGGAAAGTCTCATTCTTCAAATAAGCTAGCTGAACAAATTTTGTGATTCTTTTCTAACTCTACGCTTTGTGTAGGAATCATGTGGAACAAATTTTAAACAATTTTCTTCTTATTTTAATTGATCTGTTGAAGGTCATGGTGGTCCTATGCTTTGGTGGTCTAGGAACTAGCTGTAAATAGTGATTAGTAGGAAAAAAATCATAGAATGTATGAGGCAAACAGGTACCTAATTTAGGATTTTAGAACAATGGGTGTTTCATTTCAAAATCTTTCTACTTGGGAATTCTATGTTTGAGACATGAAAATTAACTTAATGTGAGCCATGTGTGACCAAGGACTTTCCCAGCAGAGATGTCAGAGGTGGTCAACATAATGTTTCCCTTCTTCATGAACAGTACTGTGTGGAGAGGTGTGCTTTCTGAGATTTTTTTCTATTAGTTTGCACAGTGGTAACAATAGAATAAATTTTGTACTAAAGTCACATAAAATATTAATGTTCAAAGTTTACATTTTTGTTTTTTTTTTTCCTTCTGTTAACAATACTCTCAAAAGACTTTCTTCAAACAAAACACAAGTGCTTATTATTAGTGAATTCAAGTCTTACTTGCCACCTCATTTGTATGTTTTGGAAATCCTTTTTCATATTCAGAGTGTTGTACATATAGTTGCCTAGATGTGGCATGCTGTCTTTCTAGAGGCAGAGGAAGGGCATGGTGCTAGGAGAGCCTTTATGTTTCTGATGAATAAGAAAAAGCCTTTGTGAATGAGGTCTTTGCAATATTAAGTGTGTTAATATTTATATTTTTTTAAAGATGGACCACGGCCTAATCAAAAAGAAATACTTTCTCTGCGTGCATTCTTGTTGATGTTCATTAAGCAGTTAGTGATGAAGGTGAGTTCATATTGCTTATCTGGTAGCATTCTGTGGATGAGAGCTTATAATTTCATATAAAATACAATCTTGATTTAGTTTTTTTTTCGCTTTGTTACTAAGATTACACATTGGAACATTCTTTGATATATTTATTTCCTTTTTTTGTGCTTTCTTCATTTTGGATATATATGGATATAAATTATTGAATTATTGCATACATGAAAGTTGGTAATTGTGGTATACACATGTATATGAATGTCTGTAGAGCTCTATCAGTACATGTTTACTGAATTTCTACTGCATATTAGGTGCTGTTAGCAATGGTGATGCTGTAACCACTAAAGCTCTTTTTTTTTTTTTAAAGATTTATTTATTTGTTTGAAAGTCAGAGTTACACAGAGAGAGAAGGAGAGACAGAGAGAGAGAGAGAGAGGTCTTGCATCTGCTGGTTCACTCCTCATTTGGCTGCAGTGGCTGGATCTGCACCAGTCCAAAGTCAGGCGCTTCTTCCCGGTCTCCCATGAGGGTGCAGGGGCCCAAAGACTTGGGATATCTTCTATTGCTGCTTTCCCAGGACATAGCAGAGAGCTAGGATGGGGAGTGAAGCTGCCGGGACTCAAACCTGGTGCCCATATAGGATACCGGCACTGCAGGTGGTAGCTTTACCTGCTGTTCCACAGCGATAGCCCCAACCAGCAAAGCTCTTAAAGGAGCTTTTACTATTCCGTAGGGAAAGGATTTCTTATACTTGACATTCAGATTTGGAGAAATAATATTTCTATAAATGTTCCAGTTAGATTTATTAGTCTTTAGAAATGATCATGTTTTATCCCTTTTCATTCTGTTAAAGGAAAATTTAATGCTGTTTTTAAAGAAGACAATTTGTTTTATAAGATAGAGGTATATAAATTTTTTTTTATTTAAAAGTCACAGTTAGAGAGAGAGAGACAGACAGAGACAGACAGAGAGAAAGACAGATTTTTCATACTCTGGTTCACTCCCCAGGTGGCTGCAATGGCCAGGGCTGAGCCAGGAGCTTCTTCCAGGTCTCCCACATGGGTGGCAGGGGCCCAAGCACTTTGGTGATCTTATGCTGCTTTTCCCAGGCCATTAGCTAGCAGGGAGCTGGATTGGAAGTGGAGCAGCCAGGACATGAACTGGCACCCATATGGGTGCTGGCATCACAGGAGGTGGCTTTACCTACTATGCCACTGTCCTCTGTTGCCAATATTTCATTCAGAATTTTCCTGTGTCATTTTATTTTTTATTCTCTATATTATAAAGCTTCATTAGCTGTCACATAATATTATAGCAAATGGACCTAACTTTTATCACACCTTTCAAACCTCTCAGATACTTTATTTCCATTTGAAAGAACCTTTTTTCTTGAGAAACTTATTAAGAGATTATTTTTTCTGTTTTCTACGTTCTTTCCTGTTGTATACTTGTTTTTATATCCAGTTCTCTCTTTTGTTTTGTAATTAATATATTGATAGAGTAGGTTGAAATTTTCATACTGAGTTCATATTTAAAAGTACACGGTTTTTCTCCAGCAAAATTGCTATTCAATTTTTAGGTACTTTTTATCTTGGTAATTTTAGAAACTGTTCATATTATTGTGTATTTTTAATTTTTTATAGGTAGATTATCTTCTACATTTGGGAGAGTGGTGAATGTAGATAGTACTCTCTTTTTTTTTTTTTTTTTTTTTAAGATTTTATTATTTATTTGAGAGGTAGAGTTATAGTCAGTGAGAGGGAGAGACAGAGAGAAAGGTCTTCCATCCACTGACTCACTCCCGAAAATGACCGCTAGGCCAATCTGAAGCCAGGATCCTGGAGCTTCTTCCCAGTCTCCCACATAGGTGTAGTTGCCCAGGTACTTCGGCCATCTTCTACTGCTTTCCCAGGCCATAGCAGAGAGCTGGATCAGAAGAGGAGCAGCCGGAACTAGAACCAGTGCACATATGGGATGCTGGCACTGCAGGTGGAGGATTAACACACTTTGCCACAGCATGGGCCCTGACAGTACTCTTTTATTATTAATCATTACGTATTATTTAGTAGGCTGTCATATTATAGTGCTAAAAATAGGATACTGAATATATTAAATGTCTTTTGACTTCTATGTACTCTTGAATGTTATGTCTTCAGTTCCTTCCTGAACTTTTATTGTAAATTTAGATTCTATATTGCAGTGTCTTTTTATATTTATAGTAACTGAGTAATTTGACAAATCTATGTATATATAGCTTCTTATATTATGTTTTTAAAGGATTCTGGAGTAAAGGAAGATGAACTACAGGCCATTCTTAATTATCTACTGACTATGCATGAGGTAATATTTGAATTCCGTATTTTGAGGTTTTATTTTTTGAAGATGCATTGTCAACTTTTTTAAATTAAAAATATTGAAGAAATCTTCCCTAATTATATTACTGTATTAGTAAATAAATTTGTCTGTTGAGAAACTAAATCTTAAAAATCTTAATTTAAATATTCTTTATTATCCCAATATGACTCTCAGAATAATCATGAGTGCCTTAAAAAACATGAAAATTAGATTTCATGGAATTACTAATAAAGTATACCAGACAACACTTTTACTGTATTTACAATAAGCAGTGTAATAAGTGCAAAAATAGGTTATAAAAATGAAAAAATGATTATATTTTAAATTCATAACAATAATTGCACTGATTTGCATGTTTACATGTTAAGTTAAACAACTTATTTGTAATGAGATTTAAAATTATCTGATTGAAAGGGAGGTTCAAAATTGAATAAGCTAAGAAAACTGTGTTTTTTTCTTTATTTTTAAGCACTGTTAAAATTCAGTGTATTCAAAGTATAGTCTAAATAAAATGCATTAAGTTAAAAATTAATGGAATATCATGTATCACAGCATTTTAAATGAGAATTTATGTTCTTATAGTATAATTCATGTCATATGAGTTAATAAGTGTTTTAATGTGGTACAGTACCTTCTTTAAAAGTTAATGAGTGAAAGACAATAACTGGGCCTATGTTTGTTAATTGAGGCATAAAAGAATGCCTTAACTTTCTTGATTATATATTTGACTTACAATATTAATGATTGTCATATTTTTGCCCCTTAAATAGGGTATCTCATTATTAAAAAGTATTTTTCTTACTTAATGTGATAGTTGAAGAGTTTTCAATTGCATTTCCTAGTAATATGTTAGTATATGGAATTTTTTTTATTATTCTTAATGATGCAAATCAAGTCTGGGAAAATATTAAAATGTTTATTTTCATGCAAAAATTTTAAAGTCCATTTATAGTTCTTCATATTTCCCATGAACTTTTTGCACTCCCTGCATATATATGATTTCAAAATTATTCTACAGCAAAATAAATATATCTTTTAATTCCATTTTCCATAAAATTTTTGAATTACTCTTGTACTTCATAAAAAAACTGGAAGTAAGAGTATTCCTCTATTTTGTTTCAGTCTTTCAGTTCAATCTTTCAGGTTCTTCAAATGATGTGTTTCCAATGGTTCAGTGCCCTGTTGTCTACTTTCTGAACTTTAGGCATACAAATAGCTTCTGTGGCAAAAACTGAAAATAGGAAATGAAAACTTAGATTCAAAGCAACCAAGTCAACTAACCTCTGCTAGTTGATTCCTTTTTTCTTTAGCATTGGAATTACCCAAGTAGTCCCTAGTGATATTCATATCTATTGAAATATACAACAGTGAACGATTTCCATCAAGATTTTTTTGGTTTCAAAATCACAGTGTTCTTGTGCTAAAGTTCTGTAATTGTTATCTGTGCCAAATACAGTATATGTTGACAATAAGCATATGTTGACTATCTTCATTTTAAATATTGATAACAGTTAATATATGAGCTATTCAGTTATCATTTTCCCAGAGTGTTCTTTTAGAACTAGTTTCTTGAGAGGCACAGTGAACAAAAATTTCAGGTTAGGTAAGTACCACTAGCACCAGATTGTTACAACTTTTACAAATATATGAATGGCTCTCCTATGTCTTACTGCAATAAAGAAAAGAAAAACTTAGTTCCTTTCTCCCCTCACTTGTTTGATGCATATTCTTTCTTTTATAGTATCTGTTTATTTGAAAGGCAGAGTTACACACACACACACACACACACATACATGCACTCACAGGTAACTTTCTTTTTTTTTTTTTTTTTTTTTAACTTTTATTTAATGAATATACGTTTCCAAAGTACGAATAATGGATTACTATGGCTTCCCCCCCATACCGTCCCTCCCACCCACAACCCTCCCCTTTCCCACTCCGTGGATTCTTCCATTCACATCAAGATTCATTTTCGATTATCTTAATATACAGAAGATCAGCTTAGTATACATTAAGTAAGGATTTCAACAGTTTGCTCCCACACAGAAACATAAAGTGAAAAATAATAGATGATTTTTTTAATGATGATGAAATCAGATCAGACCTATTGTCATGTTTAATCCCAGTGAGAGTCAAGTTGGGAGTTGATAGTTTCTATTCTTTTCTTTTTTTTTTTTTTTTTTTTTTTTACAGAGGATCAGTTTAGTATGCATTAAGTAAAGATTTCAACAGTTTGCACCCCCATAGAAACACAAAGTGAAATATATTATTTGAGTACTCGTTATAGCATTAAATCTCAATGCACAGCACATTAATGACAGAGATCCTACATGAGGAGTAAGTGCACAGTGACTCCTGTTGTTGACTTTACCAATTGACACTCCTGTCTATGGCATCAGTAATCTCCCTATGCTCCAGTCATGAGTTTCCAAGGCTATGGAAGCCCCTTGAGTTCTCCGACTCTTATCTTGTTTAGACAAGGTCATAGTCAAAGTGGAGGTTCTCTCCTCCCTTCAGAGAAAGGTACCTCCTTCTTTGAAGACCTGTTCTTTTCACTGAGATCTCACTCACAGAGATCTTTTGCCAGAGTGTCTTGGCTTTCCATGCCTGAAATACTCTCATGGGCTTTTCAGCCAGATCTGAATGCCTTTAGGGCTGATTCTGAGGCCAGAGTGCTATTTAGGGCATCTGCCATTCTATGAGTCTGCTGAGTATCTCACTTCCCATGTTGGATCACTCTCCCCTTTATTTATTCTATCGGTTAGTGTTAGCAGGTACTAGACTTGCTTATGTGCTCCCTTTGACTCTTAGTCCTTTCATTATGATCAATTGCGAACTGAAATTGATCACTTGGACTAGTGAGATGGCATTGGTACATGCCACCTTGATGGGATTAAATTGGAGTCCCCTGGTATGTTTCTAACTCTACCATTTGGGGCAAGTCAGCTTGAGCATGTCCCAAATTATATATCTCTTCCCTCACTTATTCCTACTCTTATGTTTAACAGGGATCACATTTCAGTTAAATTTCAACACTTAAGAATAACTCACAGGTAACTTTCATCTGCTGGTTTACTCTCCAAGTAGGCCAGGTTGAACTCAGGAGCTGTGAACTCCATTTGGGTCTCCTGCATCGCTGTCAGGGACCCAAGCATTTGTGCCATCCTCTATGGCTTTACCAGGTATATTAGCAGGGAGCTGCCTCAGAAGTGAATTGAGCGTCTGCGACTTACACTGTTACTCATATTGGATGCCGTGTCGCAGGTGGTGGCTTAACTGTTGTGCTACAGTGCCAACTCCAGTATATATTCTTTCCTAGTATAATGAAAGCTGTTATGTCAAATATACTATTGTGTTGAATATGCTTCAGGAAATCTTGATTCATTATAATACAAAGATTTTTTAATGAGCTGCTGACTTTAAAAAATTACTATTTAAAAGTTGTACTGTTATTTTTATCTGACATAAGAGTTAGTCATATTTTGGGGTATCGTGATGTTTCAATAGGCAGTGTAAGTCAGAGTAAATGTATTTTTATTTTTGTAATTATTTCAACGACATAGCTACAGAGAGAGAGAGAGAGAGAGAGAGAGAGTGAGTGAGTTTTCATTCAGTAGTTAACTCCCTCAGTGGCTGTGGCTGCAGTACCTGGGGCTTGTCCAGGCCAAAGTTCCATCTAGGAACTCTGTCCTAGTCTCCCTGTGGTTTGAAGGGTCCCAAATACTTGGGCCATCTTCCACTGCCATCTCAGGCACATTAGCAAGAAGCTGGTGGAAGCCGGAGTAGCAGGAATTTGAACTGGCAGCTTGATACTGGATGCCAGTGTTATAGGTGTCAGCTTAATCCACTCCACCACAACTTCAGTCCCTGTATGTTTTTCTTTAAAAATTTGTTTTACAAAATTCATTTATTTTGTTTAAGAGGGAAGGAGAGGGGCTGGTGCTGTGGCGCAGCAGGTTAACACCCTGGCCTGAAGCGCTGGCATCCCATATGGGCGCTGGTTTGAGTCCTGGCTGCTCCACTTCACATCCAGTTCTCTGCTATGGCCTGGGAAAGCAGTGGAAGATGGCCCAAGTCTTTGGGCCCCTGCATCTGCATGGGAGACCTGGAAGAAGCTCCTGCTTTGGATTGGCGCAGCTTCAGCCATTGAAGCTAATGGGGGAGTGAACCATCAGATGGAAGACCTCTCTCTCTCTCTGCCTCTCCTCTCTCCGTGTAACTCTTTCAAATAAATAAATCTTTAAAATAAAAAGAGGGAAGGAGAATGGGAGGAAGAGAGAGCATCTTTACTCTTGTTTTTTAACTGCTATGTCAAATACCTGCTGCTTGTTTCCTTAATTAAGAAATTGTTTGACTATTTGATAATGTGTAGTTTGAACTATACAAATAGATGTATATATTTAAGCAACATAATTTCTTCAAAACAATATACATTATACATACGTCAGCTTTTTGTAAAATTGAAATGTCCATTGTTTCAGGATTATTCAGTATTCAACTAAGTTGTTTTTGCCTCATGTTTATTTTTAAATCTCTGCAATAATTGTAGGATGACAATCTAATGGATGTCCTACAGCTGCTTGTTGCATTAATGTCAGAGCATCCTAACTCTATGATTCCTGCTTTTGACCAAAGGAATGGCTTACGGTAAGAGTTACTGTCTCAACAGATTTAATTATATTTAATATAATGAATTGGCTTAGAAATATTGGAGAGGTTCTTAAATATTTAAAGTTTTATTTAATATTATGAAATGAGTTTATATATAGTGTGAAAGAAGATTTAAGAGCCATATTTTTTCATGTATTATGGTTTGTTGAATAAATCTTATAGAGGCTGTGATACTATTTGTTATCCTTTAATTTGTGAAGAGAGGTCATTTTTAGTATTTTGTTTGTTGAGTAGTGCTTATGTGGTGGTAGCACAAGGTTGAATTCTTTAGCAAAGTTATCTTTAGGTCCTAGAATGCATCCAACTGTGATCCAAGAGAAGTGTCATCTGGTAAAAAATCACTTTTTCCACCCCCTGGTTAGAAGTCACCCCCATCATACAACAAGATAATGAAAAATCTGTCATTGTCAAGTTTCCTTATGTTCCTAGTCATCCCTCCTTTATATTGTGCCCTGGGCTGACACTCTGCCTATTGTAATTATAGATTAATTTGAATATTCTATGATTTTATATATAAGTGTAACCATGTAGTAAATATTCTAGATTTGTTTGCCATATTTCATTCAGCATGAATTATTTTGAAATTCATCCATGTTGTTGCATGAATCAATAGTTTATTCCTTTGTATTGCTGAGTATTTTTCCATTAAATATGTATCCCATAAATTATTTATTCATTCATTGTTGATGAACATTTGTTGCTAGTTTTTGGCTTTTGAAAACAAACTTGCTCTGAATATTCATATACAAATATTTATACAGACATATGCTTTTATTATCTTGAGTATATATCTAGGAATATAATGGCTAAGTCAAATGGTAGGGTAGGGATATAGATATAAATTTAAATATATAATTTTTTAGGTAGCTGTCTAACTTCCAAATGGTTGTACAGCTTTTTAAAAAAATTTTTATTCTATTGTATTTATTTGAGAGAAAGAGAGGGAGAGAGAGAGGGAGAGAGAAAGAGGGAGCGTGGGTAGGTATGAGGGAGGGAGAGGGAGAGAGAAAAGAGAAATCTCCTGTTTGCTGGTTCATTTCCAAATGCCTACAACATTTGGGATCACTGGGCAGAAGCCAGAACTCAATCCAGGTCTCCCACATGGCTGTCAGGGATTCAAACACTTGATCATTGCCTTTTGCCTCCTAGTGTGTATAATCATATTAGCTGTGTTTGAGAATCTGATTGTTCTGTATTTTCACCAGCAATTGTTCAGTCTTTAATTTTAAACATTCGAAAGGGTCTGAGGTAGTATCAAATTCTGGTTCTAATTTGCTTTTCTTGCAATAACTAATGGAGGTTTCCAGCATCTTCTTATGTGCTTTTTTTTTTTTTTTTTGCCATCTGTATATGCTTCCTTGGTGAAATGATTTCATTAGTTTTTAAAAATTGTGTTATTTTTGTTTCTTGTTATTGCATTTAAGAATTCTTTATGTATTCTGTATACAAGTATTTTACCTTGTCTATGCATTATGAATATATTCTTTGAGTCTGTGGCTTGTCTTTTTCTCCTCTTGACAGGTTCTTTTAAAAATAGTAAAATTAAGAAGCCCAATTTTCTGTTATGGGGTATAATATTGGTATCATGTCTAAAACTTTTACCTAACCCAAGTTAACAGATACTTTCTTCTAGAAGTTTTATAGTTTTAGGTTTCACATGTTTGTATATGAATCAGTTTGGGTTAGTTTTTGTATATGCTGAGAGCTGTGAAATCAAGGTCCTTTTTTTATATGCTATATGGAAATCCAGTTCTTCCAGCAGTATTTGTTGAAAATATACTTTCTTCACCAAAATACTTTTGTCTCTTAGTAGAAAATTAGTCAACCAAATATATGTAGGTCTATTTTCAGTTGTTTTATTTTAGCATCGATTTGTCTATCTTGATGCTAAATCCTAAGTAGCCTTTTAACTTTATGATCACACAGGATGAGTCTCCCAACTTTGTTGTTCTTTTTTCACAGCTGTTTTTGCTGTTTGCATTTTTGTGTGATGCTAGCCTGTGTTACTATAATAAGGAAAAGGTCTTTAGATTTTGCTAGTGTATTTAGACACAGTGGTTAGAAGAGAGAAAGTATTTTATTATCTTTAATCATGGAATTTTGAGCTAGGGAAGAATTTCCAATGTCAGTCAGGGCTATTGCCGTCCAAGGTCTAGTCTGTGCCTTTGCATGTGTTTATTTTATTGCAGTGCTTACTTGAACATGATATAGGAACAAAGGAAAACATTCTGTCCCCCCATTCACACATGGCAAAATGATGGCTTAGAGCACACCGCCTCAAGTTCACCCAGAGAGTTGGATGGTACCGGCACAGATGACCCGCTTCTGTTCTCAGTTCTCATTCCCTTCAACAAGTGTCTCTCATTCTCCAAACGCAGGGGGAGTCCTTGATAGACAACTCTCCTTTTCCTTGTTAAAAGGGTATAAGGGCTCTTTAATGAACACCAGGCAACTTGGTGGAGACTCTAAATGGACTAGAAACATTATTCCCCCCAAATCAAGCATGACACAAGGAAGAAAGCACACGACGATGAAGACGAGTTGGAATGGAGATATTTACTATCATCCCTTCCACCTGGATTCCTTCCCCGACAGAAGCCGCTTGACCGAAACCGTGGAATGAGG